TCTGTGTGTGTGTGTGTGTGTGTGTGTGTGTGTGTGTGTGTGTGTGTGTGTGTGTGTGTGAGAGATTGACAAAGAGCGATGTAGACTCCCTGGAAAAAGTGTGTAGGTCAGAGCCCCTCTTTCTCTCTCCATATCCCTCTCTCTCTTCTCCCAGACACAGAGAGAGAGAGAGAGAGAGAGAGAGAGAGAGAGAGAGAGAGTACTCCTGGGCAATTGTCACGTGGTCTCTGGTATTGACCTTAACGGTTTACGTCTGCTGGCACACGGGCTCGTTAGAAAACAGTCGTGAATTAGATATGGCTTAGACACGAGTTAGACATGGTTTCTCTCTCGTCATTTTTTGTCTGTGGGTGTTCTTGGTCTGTAAAGATACTTGGCAGTTTCCATTCTGGTGGATCCTAGTTGCTGTTTAAACATGAGATCTTCCTGAGCAGGTTCATGGGGTGTTTGCTGATGGTGTAGTTCTCATGGGTTGCTGTTTCCAAATGCAAGGCAATATCTGATCCTTTGGCTGCTTTGAGCAGTGGCATCCCTGCTGCTCCCGGAGGGTGTCATGGCGTCAGGCCGATCTGTGGAGTGTTCGCGTGAGCTTGGAGCTCAGCAGGCGTCTATAGTCGGTGAGTTTCCTGTGGGCAGAGTTCTTCTTGGCACTTGATAGGCGGTGGAGCTCCTGATGCCCCGCGAACCTTTTCATGCATGTGTCCTTGATTGTTGCCAATGGGGGACACACCGCCACAGGGATGGTAAACCACCACTGCTTTTCCCAAACGTTTCGTTTTGTTCCGATGCAGTTGTTAATACGTTGGCTTCGGCCGATCATCCCGAGGAGGCCAATTGTCCATTGAAAGACACGGGCGCCAGTGTCGCCGGTGAGGTAATACGAACTGCGCGCCCTTGCCGTCGAGAGAAGCCGCAAGGGGCACAGCATACCAATCAACTTTGGAGAATCAGGGTGCGGGGGTAGGATCGCACGAGTGTCGTGAGGGCAAACCAGAGAAAGAGACGTGAGGATCAACCTGTGAGCTAAACGGGAGGGAGATAGCCCGACTCACTGCGTAGGTTAATTAGCTAACGAGACAACGTGAAACGTCGCATGGAGCCATCAGGGAAAACGGGATTGCACAGATCCATTCACTCAATCCGTTGTGTAAAGCTCGAGAATCTATGAGAAGGAACTGCATTCTTCTGCGCAGACCAAATTGCAGGTTACCCCGCAGATCGCCGTGAGGATGTACGAGAATAGAAAGTTGTGCAGATCATTGCACGGATCATCGCACGAATCTGTGAGATACGAAATAGCGCGGACCATTGCAAGGATCTATCAGAAACGGGATCGCACGGACCATCATGTGATTCAATCAGGGAGAGAGAAGAGAGGGTCATCATGAGGATCTAATAGACGAGTGAGACTCTGCATACCATCGCACGGATCTAACAGGAACAGAATAGCGCCAATCGAATCAGTCAGATACTGAAGCGGACGAATTGCCTCAAGGGAGTAATCAAAGACGAGATGACTTGGAATCCCGTACGGAACGACCAGAAGCAAGACATGACATGCCCTTCAGAAATAAGGTAGTGTCTCCCCATGGTGATCGTTTGAAAGTGAGGTAGCACAGATCTCGCGAGTGCAAAGCTAAACTTCCCAAAAATCGCGGCGTCAAGCAGACACTTCGCGTAAAGCGAGGTGATTATTGAAGAGCGAGGCGTGAGCTCTCTGGTCGGAGGATCGCACATACGCCCCAATCAGCGAACTTGGAAAAACTCACTTTCGGTTGCTCGGCTGAGTTGTTCAGCGCGAGTGCTCGGCCACTTCGGCTTCCGGGTGAATGTACGCGTGTGTGTTACGAGCGGAACCACTTGAGAAAGGGGGGAAGGCGAGGTGGCCGAGCTTCCGGGCGATCTTGAGATTGGCGCACGTGTCAGCTCTGATCCGTTCCCTGACGGAAGTCATCCTGAAGCCTTCCAAGGGCGTGCACTTTGAAAACGGAGTCCCCATGCACCTGAAGGGATCTGATCAAGCACGCACCGCAACGGGAATGCGAGCTGCATTGTGGGTGTATCGAGTTTACTCGCTGGGTTTGAATCGAGACCAGCTGCGGGACCAGGGATACAGTGAGACCCGAACTAAGATGGGATCGAGAGCGCGATCGCCAAACATTTGGGCCGAGATCTGATTAGCATGTGTGATATCCGCGATTGGAGACTAGAGCCAAACCGAACGCCTTCGCGACCAGCTCGGGCTAGTCACCTTCAGGATAGCGTGACCAGAATCATCGGCTGAGTCCAGATAACATCAACGATCGCCACGGGGGTCATAACGAGAGAAGTCATCGCTCGGCCCATCGCATGGGTCCACGAGATGTCTGGGTCCTCCCACTCCCGTGGGAAGGTCTCTAAGCGGGACGCTCGAATCGGAACGCGGGCTTTCGTGCCCATTGCCAGTTGAATCCCTCCATGCGTGTGTGCGTTTCGGAGGGCCCAGTTGACGAATCATAGCACACCCACGGTCATAGCACGCCCACGCACACTCCTCTTTTCGAGACCCGGTTAGTGGGAATTATCATTAGTCGCCCGGACCCTCACATTGCGGCGTAAGGCTCGTGGCCAAGGGGAACAGAAGGGAGAGAAAACTCGCCTGATGGGACCCGAGAAGATTTCGTTTACGAGCTAGATTGGGCCCAAACCGGGGCCGTTGATTAGCGTGCCAAGGGTAGCACAATCAATCCCGCTTAACAGGGTTGGCGGGGGCTAAGATTTGCGTGAGCAAAAGTAAGTTTCCTTTTGACCTGGACCGGACCGAGATTGAGATACACGCGAGTGGAAACTAAGCTGCGTTTACCAGAGCCCTGATTGAGTCCCAGCCAGTGTTCACGTGCGGGCGAATCAGACAAAGCACCCCGAATCGAAACAGTTGGGGCTGGACTGAAAAGCCACGAGTGGTAGTCCCGCGTCGATAAATTGGACCTGAGCCCGAATTCACGAGCGGGTCACGAGCAGGTCAAACCAGAATTCGCGCATAAGTACCCCGCTCGCGCTGTGGCAAGTTCTTAATTGGATAATCGGAACTTAAGAGGGATGGTAAAGGTAGATTTGGAGCTCTGGCCCAAGTGGGCCCACGGCGCCACTTCTGATACGGAGAGCTCTAGCGCGGTACCATGGGACAGACGGACCAGGTATTGACGGCACCCCATAGGGAGGAGGATACGACCCAGACTAGTGGCGCGATCGGTCGGGACTCAAACCTAATTTTCCGACTGGGATTTCGGATCCGTTTTAGAGGCTGGTTGCAGTGCTGCACACCCCATTGTTGTGGGCTGAATTAAAGATGCTCATATTTTTTTTTTTCCTGTGATGTGGCACTCTTTCCTGCATTTTGTCAGTCCGTTTGTGTCACCGACTTGCCTGCGGTGTTTGCTGAGTAGGAATTTTCACAGGTGACAGGAGCCCCCAAACGACTCTCCCGTGGGTGTCAGACACGGGGCGGGGTGGGCTAAAGAGTTCATTTGGCATTCCGCCAGACCCCATCTACCGGTTGGCGACGGGTCTTAACTTGCCCGTGGGCTCTACACGGAGGCACGACGATCGATCGATGATAATTGCTACAGGAGCCTGAGTCTGAGGTAAACTCGTGTAACAATCAGATTAGGCTGAAAACGAGTTTAGGGCTAAGTGGTACAAATTTTTCAGTAGTTTAGGGCATTTGCAGAAAAGTCCCTGTCGCTTCAGGCTTTCTTTCGATTTAGTACGGGTTACGACCCAGAACTAGACATAGTTGTAGCAAAGTCCTACTACATAATTGTAGGAAAGTCCTACTACATAATTGCAGGGAAGTACTGCTACATAATTGCAGGAAAGTCCCTACTTACTGTTACAGCCTGCTGAGAAACCGGAAGAAATTGCAATGCTACCCTTTTGGGAAGCGAGGACCACCAAGCTGATAGTGACTGCGAGGTGAGTGGCGGGGCCGTAAGCCCTTCTGCTTCACCTCATAAGCCGACACAGCGGGCTTCGCCGTCTTGAGAAGTTCCTTGTGTGTAGTCCACCTGTTGTCAATATGTGGCTGGAAGAAGAACATAAGAAGGTACTCACAGTTGTGACCGGTGCCCTGCTGGGTCGCGATTTGCTGCTGCACTTCCGAGTCGTAGCCGTTCCCTGGGATAGGTGGCCCAATTGAGGTCTGACTTGAAGTGCATCGGATTGGGAGTGAAAGGTAATCCCTCTGATGCATGGGAGATAGGGTGGGTCTTGAGATGTGATGGGAACATAAAAAACACATCATATGATATACTAAAGGAATCTGGTGTCGTCTCCAAGATGCAGTTGAAAGGGGACTTCGTGAATGTGAGGTGTAGGTGGGATACCAGGCAAGACGTGGCAACGCACGAAGCAACGTCCTCTCTATTTGCTTTGACTACTGACGTATTTACCAGCACATGTAGAGAACCTAAGTCCAATATCATAATGGACCTAACACACCTCAAGCGCACTGCAGACTCACCAGAAATTGCCATGGAGCATGGTATAAAGGCAACAACTTAGGTGCCATATGATCATATCCGCATTCAAATTGTTAGAAAGCTCACTTAATCCAAACCCAGTGCCAGGATCTGATTTTTTTTTTTTTTTTTTTTTTTTTTTTTT